CGATCGAACGTTGTCGATACTTGCTTTATTCATCGTGGCAATACGCGAGTCGCCCGATATATTGCGCTGCGTGCTGCGACATGCCAAGATCCCGCGTACCGCCGGGCCCCCGCCGCCATACGTCTGTTCGCATCGTGGTTCGCGGATTCCACGCGATTTGTCTCTTGCGACGTGCCAGCTTCGCGCTATTCGCCCCGCCTACCGAATCGCGAGACCCAGCCGAGCGAAACCGAGACCCGATCACTGCTGCCGCCTTGCGCCGAAATACGCGTAGCTCACACCGTTGTTCTGTATTCTAAATATCAAATAAACTGTTATTTGTTATTATTTGCTAGTGTCAATTATATAACGATCCTTGACTCCGACGAGCGATATTCCCGGCGATATGATCAACAACCGACGCGAGACGTACGGTTGTTACATTGGCGCCCGAACAGGTTAACTAGCGATCCGACACAAGCAAACATTAACACACAAATGACATCGTGGGTCTATAAATTGTCAAAAGACTAAATTACAGAGCAGCTACGTGAACAAAATATAGAGACCGAAGGTACACTCGACGAGCTGCGAACACGATTAATGCAATTTTTAAGGAAAAATCCGGGAACGACAAAACAAAATATGTAAAACGGGACCACAATGCCAAAGCAAGACGAATCCACGTCGTTCATTGAAATAACAGAACCAACAAACAAGATAATGAATCAAATTAGAAAATGGGAGTGCCATTTTGATGGACGCGACCCACACGCATTTCTGGAACGAGTGGAAGAATTGAGCCAGGCATATGGGTACCCGGGCGAATACTTATTACGGGGATTACCGGAAATGCTAAGAGGAGAAGCCCTAACATGGTACCGTAATAGTCGGGACGCGTGGAACACATGGGGGGACTTCCGAATAGATTTTGGAAAAGAATATATACCGCGATAATTTCAGGCGCAAATGCGGCGCCAAGCTCGAGGAAGGGAACAGAGGGAGAGCGAGCCGTTCCGCAGTTACGCCAATGATATTCTCAAATTAATGCGTAGAGCAGGGGGATGGACAACTGGGGAACAGCTCGACCTTCTGTATGAAAATATGCTGCCAGAGTGGAAGAAATTCGCAAAAGCAGAAGAGCTGGGAACTGTAACAGAATTACGCGAGAGAATCACTGAGTTGGAAAGCCTAGAACAACAAATTAAAGAAAGAAACAAGGCTAAATACGAATTGCGTACGGGACGACCACCAGCAACAGCCGCTACCTATAATAAGGACAAGTGTTGCTGACGAGTGTAAGCAAAGGGGACACAACCGATTCGAATGTAGACAAATACCGCGGAAGTTCTGCTCACAGTGCGGCAAAGATGGCGTCCTCACTAAAGATTGTCACCCGCCGTCGGGAAACGCCAGACGGGTCGAGCCCCCGAGAGAGGCTCGACCCATAGCATAAAATATATGCCAAGGCCATTTACAATGATAAACGTAAATGGACAAAAAATTCGAGCACTAATCGACTCGGGGTCGGAAGCGTCCTTTATTAGGCCAGAGATAACACACAAACTAAAATTACAAATAAAACGAACAAAAGACAATGTACGACTAGCAAACGGGACGAAAACTGAAATACTGGGAACGGTAACAGCGACTATACAAACAAACAGACGGAAGTACAAAAGACAGCTAAGAGTACTACCGAATTTGGGAAGTCCTATAATAATAGGAACGGACATATGGACGGATCTACAGATTACGCTACCACCACCACCGCGTACAACAACAAGAGAAATACCGGATTTATACGAAATTGAATACGGAATGACGAAACGATCGGATCGAGAGGAGGAGCAACTAAGAAAATTTTTAACAGAGGAATTACAGATGTTTGACAAAATACAGGGACCGACAGACAGGATACAGCACCAGATAACATTAACAGACAAAAGACCGATTAAACAACGATACCGACCCCGAAACCCGTTTGCGATGCAAACGATAATAAATCAAGAAGTAGAAGACATGCTACGGGAAGGGATAATCGAGCCCTCAAGAAGCGCGTGGAGTTCGCCGGTGGTAGTGGTAAAAAAGAAGGACGGGTCACGCAGATTTTGCATAGATTTCAGGAAATTAAATAACGTCACGGAAAAAGACGCATACCCACTACCACATATCTCGACAACATTAAACAAGCTCCGGGGGGCTCGATATCTGTCCACCATCGATTTGAAAAGCGGGTACTGGCAAATTCCACTAACACCAGCAAGCCGACCGTTAACAGCATTTACGGTACCAGGGAAGGGGCTTTTTCACTTTAAAGTAATGCCGTTTGGCCTCCATTCGGCACCAGCGACATTCCAAAGACTGTTAGATAGCATAATTGGCCCTGAGCTAGATCCTAGGGAATTAGTATATCTGGACGATATAATCATCATTAGTAAAACATTTAAGGAACACCTGGCGCATTTAAAAGAGGTGTTTAAAAAACTACGGGAAGCCAAACTAAAAATAAATGAAAAAAAATGCCGGTTTTGCAGGAAAGAGTTGAAATACTTAGGACATGTAATAAATAATAGAGGAATTCAAACGGATTCCGAGAAAGTAAGCGCCATACGCGATTGACCAAGACCGAACACAATAAGAAGAGTTAGACAATTCTTAGGGTTAGCATCGTGGTATAGGCGTTTCATACCAAAATTTTCGGAGATAGCAAGCAGCTCCCCTCACGAAGATGTTGCGTAAAAATGCAAAATGGAACTGGGAAGAAAAACAGGAGATAGCATTCCAAAAATTAAAAAAGATGTTGATCTCAACACCGGTACTCGCGTGTCCCGATTTCTCGCAAAAATTTGTCGTCCAGACAGATGCAAGTACAGAGGGGCTCGGGGCCATGTTGACACAAAACATAGAAGGGGAGGAAAGAGTAATAGCAGTCGAACATTAGACAAAGCCGAACGTAACTATAGCGCGACCGAATTGGAATGCCTCGCCGTAGTCTGGGGGATAAGGCGCCTCCGCGATTATCTGGAGGAATACAAGTTCACGGTGATCACGGACCACCAATCTCTCCGGTGGCTGCAGAAAATGGAAGCGCCCACGGGTAGATTAGCGCGTTGGATAATTGAGCTCCAACAATTCGATTTCGATATTCAGTATAGGCGAGGCAGTCTCAATACGGTCGCGGACGCTCTGTCCAGACAACCGTAGATATGTAGCATCACAAACGAATCAACGTGCGGATGGTATCAAAAAATTGTGAACCAGGTGGCCAGCGATCCGGCCATGCACCCGGATTACGAAATACGGGAGGGAAAGTTAATGAAACATATCCTCCACAAGTTAAATTTCAAAAAAATAAGGGCGGGAGAACAATGGAAAATATGCGTGCCAAGGGAAGATAGAGAGAAAATACTAAGAGAATATCATAACGAACCGACCGCAGGCCACCTGGGGATAGCAAAAACGATCGCACGCATAGCCAGACAATTTTACTGGCCTGGAATGTTCCGCGATATTGCAAAATACGTGCGAAGATGCGAGAAATGTTTAGCACATAAGGCCCATCAAGAAAAACCAGCGGGGCTCATGCATACGACAGCGGTGGAGGGACCATGGCAGCAAGTAACGATGGATTTAATAGGCCCTCTGCCGAGGTCGACGAACGGCAATACATGGATACTAACGATGCAGGACCGCTTTTCGAAATGGTTAGAAATGCGGCCACTATGGAAAGCCACGGCAAACGCAGTCACGCAAGCTCTGACCGAAAATATTATTTATCGACATGGGTGCCCCCGAGCAATAGTCTCAGACAATGGGAAGCAATTCACATCGCAACAATTAAAGAAAACGCTGGAATCATTCGGGATTCATCACAGGACCACACCAATACATGCCCCCCACTGTAATCCGGTCGAAAGAACAAATAGAGTAGTTAAAACCATGGTGTCACAATACGTGGGAAAAAACCAACGAAAGTGGGATGCATTCCTGGTAGAGCTACAATTCGCATACAACACAGCCACACAGGAATCAACAGGATATTCACCGGCCTATTTAATATATGGTCGGGAAATAGATACACATCCCGAAACCGCGGGAGCGGAAGAAACAACACATCGAATCCGACACCTCAAAGAGGCTTACGAGGTGGTGAAAATTAATTTGGCAAGAGCATTTCAGCGCCAAGAGAAACACTATAATCTCCGGCGACGAAACTGGAAACCAGAGATCGGCGAGGAAGTATGGAAAAAAGAATACCCGCTGTCCAACAAGGCTAAAGCAGTTAATGCAAAACTGGCACCGCGTTATGTAGGACCACTAGAGGTAAAGAAAATAATATCTCCAGTTATAGTGCACCTGAAAAGTAAACAAGGAAAATGGTATAAGAACATACACATACAGGACTTAAAACCAATAAACAATAACAACAATGGAGAAAAGGACGAGGAGACCGAACAGGGAAAGAGAGTATAAAAGAGAAGCACTAACAGAAACAGGACACTCTTTTCTCATCTGCTTCGGGCAAGAGAGAAATTTTGGAAAACGATGGCGCAGCCAAGCAATTGGTACGCAATTCCTGGAGCCGAGATCCTCTGGTCGGATCTTGCGCTCTCCTCGGATGACGAGGACGTGGTGGCCACAACATCGCCACCAAAACCGTCGGCTCCAACTCCACCACCGACACCGACGGCCATACCATCGCCAACAGCAAGGCTGCGGAACAGAACAGTCCCGGCACAAGGGACAAGAATTCAACGCTCCGACAGAGAGCAGCGCCGTAAGCTAATTATGCTTACGGCTCCGTTGCCCCCACCATCTGGGCGCCGAGGACGTGCCAGCGGCACAGCAAAGGCTGAGCAACAGTGGAAAAATAAGCTGTCAACAACGCTACCAGCAACACCACCAGCAACACCAACAGCAAGCGCAACAACAGGCGAAAAATCAAAGGGGCACACCACACGACCGACCGACCAGGGGACACCGAACGCACACCGACCGGAACCGCTTCGTGCGATCGGCCCGTCCCTACCACCGCCGATTAAAGTGGAGGTGCAACCAGGACTGATAGCCGAAATACCACACTTCGCAGTACACGTATCCAAGCGATACCGACTAAGACTGCCACAGGGACGATGGATGCTGCGGTTCAATAGTGAAGGACAGCTACGAGCCAGCCAGAGACTACCAGACCAACCCAACTAAACCGAGGGGGTGATGTGACAATGCCTTAAACGCATCGTCCCTAATAGCAGCCGACACAACATCCGTCGGTTGTAAACGGCGCTAAGCGCCAAACAAATAAACCCAAACATAAACATGCGCCACGCCTAAAGACACGAAACGTCAACAACAACGTCAAATGTAACGAGACAGTATATAAACCGTGACCGAGAAATAAGCGGAGAGACCGATCCGGACCGCCGACCGAACTCGATGCTTCAAAGCGGAGAGCAAGGTATCCGACCGTATCGTTTCTACCTTCCTGTCACCCTCCGAGACCCTATCGACGAAATCGGCACCTGGAGATTGTGTGTTCGCTATCTCCGTCAAGCGCTCTTGACACCGACTTCGCCGTTCCATCAGGATCCAACGACCGGCCTACGAGTTCGTGTGTTCGCGAATCCGATCGAGTTTTCTCGGTACCGATCGTATCCCGACCCCACGAGCAAGCATCCGAACTAGTGTGTTCGCTGCGCCCGATCGAACGTTGTCGATACTTGCTTTATTCATCGCGGCAATACGCGAGTCGCCCGATATATTGCGCTGCGTGCTGCGACACGCCAAGATCCCGCGTACCGCCGGGCCCCCGCCGCCATACGTCTGTTCGCATCGCGGTTCGCGGATTCCACGCGATTTGTCTCTTGCGACGTGCCAGCTTCGCGCTATCCGCCCCGCCTACCGAATCGCGAGACCCAGCCGAGCGAAACCGAGACCCGATCACTGCTGCTGCCTCGCGCCGAAATACGCGTAGCTCACACCGTTGCTTTCTATTCTAAATATCAAATAAACTGTTATTTGTTATTATTTGCTAGTGTCAATTATATAACGATCCTTGACTCCGACGAGCGATATTCCCGGCGATATGATCAACAACCGACGCGAGACGTACGGTTGTTACAGTCCCAAGCGTAAAAAATTGTGGGTTAAGCCCGGCGAAGCAGTAGCATCAACGCCAAAGCGGAATATTCACGGTTCCAAGCTCATGCTCTGCATTTGGTGGGATCAGCTGGAGGTAGTGTATTACGAGCTGCTCCAACCCAACCAATCATCAAAGGAGATCTCTATCGACGACAATTGATGCGTTTGAGCCGAGCATTGAAAGAAAAACGGCCGCAATATGAGCAAAGACACGATAAGGTGATTTTGCTGCATGATAACGCTCGGCCGCATGT